CAGCTCTATTTCAAATTACTGTATCCGCCACTGGATATTTCGAAAATTTCATATGAAAATAAATGTTAATTACATTGCTTAAAATCAATTAAAAGGCTATATGCGCCAGAGCTTGACGTATTATCATCAAAATGAAAGAGAAAAATAGGCTGGGTTCACGCTAACCAATCGCCAAGTCGCCATGGGCGAAAACAATTTTGAAATGGCGAAACAAAAAACAACTACTTTAGCCATTTTGGCGAAAGCTTAAAAATAATAAAAATATTTTTTTGCTTTTACTTGCTGAAATACATTGTTTCTTTCGTCCGACCTCTCCATGGAAATATTTTTCCGTCGGCACGATCAAGGCCAAGATCTCGATTTTACGCTACTCCATTGCCAGTGCCATGCGACGTTTATGTGTGTTGTTCTATTAGTGTGACTACAAACGTCGCTGTGTGCATCGCAAATTATTTTGTTATTTTAAAGTGGGCAGCGTAACAATCAGTGGCTGGATGGTAACGACTACAGTACCGACACAAAATACTGCATTTTTACCTGCGCGCAGGCTTCGTAGATACATCGTAGCCTGATATCTAAGCAAGGCCGGCTACGCGAAGCGAACCTACGAAGCAAAAGCATGTTGTTTATTTGTATGTGCAGACAGACTGCTGAAGCTTACTGGAATAAACAATGTATTGCTTGATAATTTGTTAATGACAAACACAAGTTTAAACCATTAATTTAAAATATGGAGTTGTTTTTCAATAAGAAAAACGTACAATTGACTTCAAAGGAGTCTCCTCGAGTCCACGAGTCGACAGGAACTTGTTTGTACTGCTGTATTATTTTTTTCTTATTAATTAGCCTGGCCTAGGCTAGCCTATTTTTTTTTTATTTACAATTATTTTACATCTTTAACTGTTAAAAAAGATGCCCTCAATGACAATTCACACACGTGAAAAGATTGTTCATCAAATAATACTTTGTAGCCTTGATTTAGTACGATAAATAACAGTGGCGTAGAAACGTTTTAATGTAAATAACAAAATATCAAAGATCATCATAGCAAAACAACAATATATCAAGGATTCATTATCATGGCAATCATATAATATAGCATTCGGCTATCCTGACTTACCCAATCTTAGGTCATATACAAGTTTCTCAACAACTCTCTTAAACTCGTTACACCATAACTGTTCCTTCTATACAGTAGGCTATAATCAAAAGAGGTTCTAATTACTTATCTAATAATTGACAACTGCAATTTGTTATAATGTACTTCATAAATTAAAACATATTGTATATCGTAACCTCAAGATCTATGGGTGTCTCCATCTAAGTTTACAAAGAAGGCACCAACTGTATCTAGCATCAAGTAATAATCTAAAGTTCTGATTATCATCAAATCAAATCCTGTAGTTGTATTATACAATATAATATACACCAGTTATTGTATCTTTCAAAAGAGTAGTGTAAGTCTACAATGCTTCTGTTCCCTAATATTCTATCAGATTATCAATAGGTAACCTTAACCAAATACAGACACAGGGTCTGTAATTGTAATAAATACTACTACACAATATATCAATAATAATCTACATCATGGTAAATATCGTTCTGTAACTAAAGTGTTAACAATACAATTATATAACGTACCTTTCTTCGAATTTTGATTGCTTTTATACCCGGAGATCTCAGCTCCCTCATTACCCTTCGAACATTGTGTTGGTAATGCCTTCCTACTCAAGCTACCCAAGCTAAACTCAAGCCAAAATGACTTTTAACTTAATCACTTCTTAATTATCATTACGCCTTAGTGATTAAACAATAAGGACTATTTAAATGTAGCTCCGTAATATATGCAAATGTGGTGTTTAACCCAAGCATACCCAACATAGTTTATATTATATAATCATACCTCAGCCAACTGGCTCTAATAATTTGCATGATAAAGGACTTGGCTACTAAGTAAGTGTTTAACTGCTGTAAAATGGCGATATATAGATATGTTGTAATATATGGCTACAATACAAATATTTCTATTTCCCACATTCCATCCTGACTGAGTATAATTGTCCTCAATTATACCTCAATAAAGCATATATACAGCATATATAGAAATGAAAAAATACATAAAAAAAAACCATAATATCATCATAACACATCATCAGTAGAGATTAAGACATATTAACCGATCGTGGGACATTAAAGGGATTTGAGTGAGTGCCTCTAGTTGATCGTGTAGAACGTCGTACAGGTAGTTGATCTAACACTCAAGGTATTTCGGCTCCAACCGTTGGTTGTTCTGTTGCCTGGTGTAAGTCTTGTTCTTCGTCAGGAAAAATTATATATCGATAGTCTTCTTCCTCTTTATCTGATCCCTCAATGATTTCAGTGGGCTCGTCTGCTTGATCCTTATTTTCAACTAAGGGCCAATCTATGTCATGGACAACTTCTCTTGGGTCTTCATTTAACATTCGTCGATTCACCCTCTTAAATGGACCTCCATGTACAGGGCGTATTTGGTATACATCATTCTCTTAGTTGATATCAGTTATAACGTAAGAATCTCTATAAAACTTATCTTCCAGCTTGTGTCGCCCAGTGAATGCCATTCTCTGTAATAAGACCTTCTGACCGATTGCTAAATCTGTGGATGTTACTCTGTGATCATGCCTCTTCTTGTTGTATGCAGCAGCATTATTTAGGTTTTGTTTGGCAAGCTCGTTCATCTTGGCCAGCTCGTTCATCTTGGCCATAGCAGTTGCTTGTTCCTGTATGTAATCTTCATCCCAATCCTGTTTTGTGTTTGGTAATAATTGATCCACTGGCAGTGTTGGTTCTCTACCATACAGCAATCGATAAGGCGAATATCCTGTTGACTTGTGAGGAGTTGTATTGTATATAAATACTAAGTGAAATATCATTTCAGGCCATTTCTTTCTGTCTGTCGGCTCTATGGATCTAATCATCTGACATAGTGTGCTATTGAAGCGTTCGACCTGGCCATTTCCTTCAGGATGGTACGGGGTTGTCCTCGATTTATTTATCCCATAAAGACTACATAGCTGCTTAATTAGTCTCCCTTCGAAATCCCTACCTCTATCAGAATGTATCCGACTTGGGGTGCCATGATGTGCAAACCAATGGTCTCTTAGTGCCTTAGCCACAACAATTGCTGTCTGGTCCTTGCATGGTACGGCCTGTGCGTATTTAGTGAAGACATTCGTCATCACAAGCACGTCCTCGTAGCCACCCCTTCCACGGTCTAACTTCAAAAAGTCAATGGCTAAAATGTCCAATGGTCGAAATGCCAGTAGATGGCGCATGGGTGTTCTCAGTGTAGGAGTTGAGGTTTTACTTACAGTGCAGTTGAAACATTTCCTTATATATTGCTTTACATCTCTCTGTAACCCTGGCCAAAAACATCTGGTACGTAAAAGACTAAGCGTCCTACCAACACCTTGGTGACCCCATTTGTTGTGTGTACAGTCCAGGATTGTCTCACGTAGACTCTTCGGCACCAGGAGTTGAAGTACCTCTTCCCCATTAACAGAAGTCTTTCTGTATAACACACCTTGTCGTCTCTCTAAACAATTCCACTCTTTAAGATAACACTTCACCTCGGATATTTCTGATGGAATAGCCTCTCCTGGTTTCCATTTCTGGTCTAGGCATTTTCTGACAATCATCAGACTCTCGTCATTAGCTTGTAACTTGTTAAGTTGATCTAGACTAAAGGATGGGAGAATACATCGTTCAACCGTCTGGTTATCTCTTGTTACTTCTTGTAAACCACAGTTTTCTACCATTGATTTAGGTACTATCGGAACAGTGGGCTGCTCGTACAAATACTGTCTGCACATCTACCACAGTGTTACTGGGACATCTACTTAGAGCGTCAGCGCATTGATTTGACTTGCCGGTTCTGTATATCACTTCAAGATCAAATGCTGCCAGCTGCGCCACCCACCTCTGCTCTGTTGCACCAAGCTTGGATGTGTTTAAGTAAGCAAGCGGGTTATGATCAGTTAATACTATGGTATGGCCACCTAACAAGTAGTCTCTAAACTTGTCTGTTATCGCCCACTTCAATGATAGCAGTTCTAACTTGTAACTTGAATGACTTACATAGTTTCTTTCAGGACCACGAAGGCCCCGACTCGCATAAGCAATTGGGTGTAGATGTCCTTTCTCGTCTCGTTGACCTAAGCATGCCCCGATTCCCTTCATTGAAGCATCAACCTCTACAACAAAATCTTTTTTGAAATCCGGGTAAATAAGAACAGGTGTTGATGTTAGCATTACCTTTAGATCATTGAAGGATCGTTCTGCCTCCTCACTCCATTCAAACTGTGTTGTAGACTTGGTCCGTTGGTATCTGTTACCCTTTCTACACGCGTCTTTAGTCTTGCCCAGTAATGTACCGTATGTAGCGGTGCTGTAATCTTAGCGAATCCATTTACGAACTTCCGGTAATAGGATGCTAGACCGAGGAATGATCTTAGTTCTTCGCAGTTATTAGGAGTAGGCCATGTCTTAATCTTTTCCACCTTGTCTGTGCCGACTCCTACACCTGCTGCTGATACTATGTGGCCTAAGTGATGTACCTCCCTCTGTAGAAATTTGCATTTTCTTCCCTTGAGTTTAAGACCGTACTTTCTTAACCGTTCCAATACTAGCTGCAGTCTGCTAATGTGCTCTTCTAGGGTAGATGAACACACCAATATATCGTCAAGATATATCACTACTTTAGACAGGTTCAAATCTCCAAATATGAGTTCCATAACTCTCTGGAACGTGCTCGGACTGTTTACTAGGCCTTGGGGCATTCGTAAGAACTCAAACAGTCCCCAGGGAACCCTGAACGCTGTCTTCTCTATGGATTCCTTTCCCATAGCGATTTGAAAGTAGCCGTTTGCCAGATCTAGAGATGAGAAATACTCTGCTCCACCTAGACTAGAGTGTTTCCTCAATTCTTGGAAGAGGGAATGAATCATGAACGGTCCTCATGTTTAATTGGCGATAGTCGATGCATAAGCGCATGGAGCCATCCTTCTTGCGAATTGGTACGACAGGACTTTAGACTTCTGAATGATGCCTTTATCCAACATCTCCTGTAGCAGTTGTTTCATTTCAGGAATTTGTGTAGGTGGGACCCTTCTATATGGTAAACGAATTGGTGCACCGTCTCTTGAGGTGATTTGGTGTGGTATCACATCACAACATCCTAGGTCCATATCATTCTCAGCGAATGCATCCTTATAGTTAAGCAGGAGATGAGTAATGCTGTTGGTCTCGCTTGACGTAAGCCCGTCCAATGACACACCATTCGGTAGTTCCCCTCGTTGGTACCCGTTGCTGGTCTGCTTATCAGTAGATTCTTTAATGTTGTGGTGTGACTTGTCTATTCCCGTACTTCTTGGCTTTGTTCCTGATTCTACTGCAACGTTTGCTACCATGACTTCCACAAATCCATCCTGTGGCTGAACTATCACTTCTTCTGTTAACTCTGCTTCTACTACAGATTTTCGCTACGATTGGCCACAGTTACATGAATCTTCGAACCTTGCATCTCGGTATTTTTTTTTATTTATTTATTTTTTTTATTTATTTATTTAGGCACACAATACATGTGCCAAGGATTGTCAATAGCGAAAATATCACTGTCCTACTTGTAGGTGACAATCCCTTACACAAGACAAACATACACACACGATGCTTTACTATGAGATTTAGGGAGTGGAATTGTTTTGGTCGTGAGAAAAAGTCCTGCAACTGGCAGGAATTGAACCCAGGACCCTGGGATTGGAAGGCAAGCATCTTAACCACCAAGCTATTCAACTCCACTATATAGCCTTCATATAACTCTACTGGACTTGGCGCTGACATCTTAGTTTGTAAGGACTAAAAGAATACCTTTACCCTTCCACCTGTTGGCATCTACCATCTCGCACTCTACTCGTCGGACAGTCAATGGGGGTACAACCTCTCTCTTATTGCCAGTTTTCAGTATGGCATTTACTGCTGGAGGTGTTCTTGTTGTAGCTCCTTCTCGTAGAACTTTTGAGACGAAATTCCATTCACCCATTCTTTCTAGACGGTTGTCTTGTAGCAAGACTCTTAATGCATTGCAACCTAGTATGACAGGATATTTGGAACGCCTTCTTTGTTGTGGGTCATCTCTTATGACTAAGAATGCAACTTCCTTAGAGACACCATACACTTCTACTGGAACACGAAGATACCCAACAATTGGTATACTAGTACCGGATACACCCATGACCTTAACAATACCATCGGTGTCATCTAAATTGCCAACGGATGACCGCAGTTGTTCTTCATAATAACTTAAGGGTATTAAGCTGGCTTCGGCACCGGTGTCCAGAATACAACTGGTACTTATCCCCTTGATCTTGACTATCGAGGTCGGGCTGCTTCCTATAACATCTAAGGGCAACTTCTGGGTTGAATCATCTTGGATGGTACGGATATTAACCCTGTCTTGATGAGTCCCGCTATTCGGTGCACTACTCACATGACCAGTCTTCTCATTAGGGCAGTCTCTACGATAGTGACCACTCTGCTTACATCCATAGCATTTAGGTCCTGATCTACAATCTCTCTTCAGGTGTCCAGGTTGATTACAGTTGTAACAAATCAATTTCTTACCGGTTGGTCCTTGATTTGGTCTTTTAACAGCTTGTACCACCTCCTGTAGAGCCTCTCTCAGCTGGGAGATTTCGTCCCGCATGCTGTTGATGATTGGTGATTCCGTACGTACAGCACCTACTTCGAACTCTCGCACTCTCACATGGCTTGTGGTTTGATCCATATCTTGAAAGAGCTCTAGTACTTCTGCCCGGAAGGTTTGAAAAGGCTGGTTGCCATTACCAATCATGCTTCGTCTTAACTCCCTCTGGACCTGTTTATCCGCAGCTCCTTTTACAAATTGCTCCTTCAAGGTTTTATCTTTCAGACTCCTTAAGGCCTCCCTCTCTACACCTTCAGCTGCTGCTTCCATCCGCTCGTACAACCTTAACAAAACACTGCTAAACTCGGCCAGACTTTCGTTGCTTCGTTGAGATCTGCTATATAACTCGCCACTCAGTGATTGGATGGATTCGCTTTTGCCAAATCTAACCTTCAATATATCTCAAACTTGGTTAAAATCGTCTCGGGCTGCTACACTGATTCACATAATTTCATCTTTAGCAGCTCCAGCTAAGTGAGCGACCAACACTTGAGCCTTCTCTCGACCCTGTAACCTATACAGACGGCTGTAATCTTCGAACTCCTCCAACCACTCTCTAATTGTTGGATCACCTGGATTCGTGGGAAGACCTCTGAATTTAGATAATTTTACAGCAGGCATTCCCCTAGGTGCAGATAGGTTTCTAAATGCTCCTGTCAAGGCAGCCACCATTGCCTCCAATCCAGGATTGGCTCCATCCTGTTCACCACCTGTAGCCATATTGTTAGATAAATGAAAAATAAAACAATACAACAATATGTGATTACAAATCTATGCTATAACACTTGTAACTCCCGCCTGAGTTGGGGGTCTTCTTTCTTCTTCCTGGTACTTGATTGACGTTCAGTTCTGCGCTGCGCTTCCACCGACGTATCCCACTTCTGACACCAGTTTGTCACGAATTCAGATTTCCTAGGATTAATGTGTATTTGTCAGGATACCACGCTAAATAATGGAAGTCCGACGCAACTTGTGTGGGTGATAAAATTCTTTATTCCTTGACTATGACGTCAAATCAGTGGACATCAGAATGGTGAAACGTGAATCAAATTATATACAAGACAAAGTAAGACAAGACCAGACCCCTGTAGATAAAAGGGGGAAGTAAACAAACAAAATTCATTACATCATTAATGATGCAGATCTTAACTATTAACTTCAGTTCACTGCTTAAACCTTTATAATCAACAAACATAATATATCAGAACCATATAATTGCATAAAGTACATCATCATCAAGTATAAAGTAAATAATGTAAATAACAAAATATCAAAGATCATCATAGCATAACAACAATATATCAAGGATTCATTATCATGGCAATCATATAATATAGCAGTCGGCTATCCTGACTTACCCAATCTTAGGTCATATACAAGTTTCTCAACAACTCTCTTAAACTCGTTACACCGTAACTGTTCCTTCTATACAGTAGGCTATAATCAAAAGAGTTTCTAATTACTTATCTAATAATTGACAACTGCAATTTGTTGTAATGTACTTCATAAATTAAAACATATTGTATATCGTAACCTCAAGATCTATGGGTGTCTCCATCTAAGTTTACAAAGAAGGCACCAACTGTATCTAGCATCAAGTAATAATCTAAAGTTCTGATTATCATCAGCGATAACAGCCTTGCATGTTTGTGGGACCAGCTTAGATATTGAGTTATTTGCCACCCGGAACCCGTATTCCAGACTGTACGAGTCCCCAGTGGCAAGGTATCGCAGGGTGATGGCCAGTCGCAATCCAGGATCAAGTGCCTTTCTCATTCTGGTATCCTGATTTCGGATCCTTGAGCCAACACGAACCAACATTTCCTGAAAAAGTTTAGGATCAATTTGCTGGAAGTTCCTAAATCCATGGTGGTCCTCCATTGCCATTTCCGACATAAAAAGCATCGTATTGTCCATGCAAAGACCTGCGCATTAACCAGGGTCTAGTCCAAAAACGCCTTTTTCTTGCCTTCATCCTTCCCCTACGTTGGCTCCTAGCAACTTAAACCGCCGCAATTGCAGCATTTATAATTATTTCATCTTCTAGGAGCACCAAAGTATTTCTGTTGGCTTCACTCCGTCATATTTCACTTTCCGATTGGTGCTATGCAAACCGCCTTTCGCGTAGAGGCTTTATTTTTGCTTCTTTTTAGCGACTTCGTGGGCTTTAAATAACCATTTCGGCTGTTCCCCTCCACCCGGTAAAAAGAAAGCTGGATATTTATAGACTCATCCCATATAAAATATATTCCCATTGGATAAAAATAATTTCCCGTCAAAACACTAATTTCCATACGAATGAACAATCCTGTCTAGGCATTATGCCCACGAAAATACTAAGCTTTGGTTGCCTTCCGTGAACATGAGTTTATTAAATCAAGGACTTCTAACTGTTACCAGGATAGAAAGCTGGCTGGTCTAAGCATGGTCTAAGCCGTCTAACCTGAATAGCTTTACGCGTGGCATTGTTATGCTAATGAACCAGATAAGCATAATCTGCACATGCTCAGGAGTATCTAATGCGTTGAAATCTGTGGAAGTTGCTGAGTTGAATTTTTAATTAAAATAAAAAATATTGGCGTTTGTGATTAATACATTTTAATTTTATATAGTTAAGTAGTAAGTATATGAATAGTTTTAATGCACTAGTTAGTTGATAACTTCAATCTAATTTGTTTTGGGTCTTTTTTGGCATTTGTATAAGCGGTTAAAATGGCCTAGGCCTGGGCTATATCATGTTTATTATAATACTGTACTACAAAACAAAATCACATCAATTTAAAATCAAATTTGTTAAAATGCTTGCATTATATCTTAACTAGCAGGTGATTTTATTGGTAGATTATTTTGTTTTGAAGTATGTAAGTATGGTCAATTTGCATGCCAAATAAAATTAGTACCCCTATTTTGCATTGTCTCACCATACCGTAATTCTAGGCTAGGCCTAGATATACACCTAGACGATACGCAGTCTGGCTAAGGAAAGTTTTGTTTCCCTTTTACGGGTTGATTAAGTCATTACTTCAATTGACCCAGAGGTGACAGAACTAGGGGGTGCTGTGTTATGGAGAGTAATGTGTAACCGGAAATGGTCTGCAGTCAGTTGGTTGTTACCATGCGCCAGTGATGTTGGAGTATATTATATAATAGTACAGCAAGATGAAACTATTACGTAGGCCAAATGAATAAAGTTCGGAGTTATAAGAGACAGTTGTCGGGTAGTGAAATGATTATTGTACATTTTAAGCGCTAGCTAAATTCATAAGTGTAAGCTAAATTACGGTGATTAATTTAATTAGCGAAGATATGGAGACAATTATTTTGTATTCCCCTCTTGGAAAGAGGGGATGGAAATGCTTTGTGAAAATGAGTACACCGCGGTACTCATTTTCACAAAGAAATACACACAACTGGTTAACTAACAATAATGCCAACGTTACAAGAACACCTAGGAAGAAAGGTGCAATCACGTTGTTGCCTAGCAAACGTCTGTACTGTATGGGAAGGAGGTGTGAGTCGCTACTGATGTACTGTGTAGCGGGGGACGATGAGGCATAATAATAAGACTATAGGCCTAGGCCCAGGCCTAACTAGACAGTGCAATAATATGTGATAGAAAGTACACTTTCGAAAGAAATATATTAAAATAAGAAACAAAAAACAAATAACTAACAATAATTCAGTTGCAGAGGTACCCTGTTTAAGTACTATACAATTCTAACAATGCGGCTCTTGTAGCCCTAGCTAGGGCAAAGCATCCATGTGCAAAGCAGTAGTGTTTGTTTATCCATGAAAAAAGCATGCCAGAAAGGTTTGCCATACCAGGAAAAGGTGACGTAAGCTAGCTTATGACGTATGCATGCCAACTATATTGTGAGTGTGACGTCACCAAAAAATGAATGTTTTCTATTATAACCAAAATATTAATAACTACAAGGTTTCTGGGCGTAAATTCTCTTAATAATTAAGGGTTGCACAATCTCCTTGCCATACACATTACAGCTCCCACTGACGTCTCAGTCGAGAACTACGGGTAGCTGAAATTTTTCTCGTAAATCTGACTACGAAACCATATCGAAATTTCACGTTCCACTTTTGGCCCTGAGTTGTGCTTCGCACTCAACGCTGAGGGCGGCGTTCCGGGAACCCTGCGTCCAGTGAGCGATTTTTTTTTCCGTACGAAACATTTACATGAAACTTCACTCGGGCCATCTCGGATTGACTCGAGTGAGTACGATACGAGGAACAAGATCAGACACTTCGCAATGTCGTGACGCTCGAGTTTTACTATTACTGTATAGC